TAGTCTATAAAACTGTCTTTGTATTTTAAATATGACCTTCTGATGATATCTAACTATGAAGTTCAGTGCAAGCTGTGATACGAAGCTGCAGAACAGTCATTGCATTCCTGCATATGGGGGTGGAGATATTCACAAAATGTGTATATTTGGGCGTCAAGATATTTCAAAGAATTTGAATACTTCTATAACGATCTTTACTTTAAAGATCTATGCATGGCAAGCTTAGCCTACCTCCGCATCCGTACAGTAATAAGAAACGATGAACCGTTTTTTTTTTTGGAAAAATACTAATGAAATTCTCACATGTTTTAGAAGATCCAGTAGCTAAAAACAGTCGGATGTAATGAGGATGAAATTGTCGTTACTCCAACTCACAGAACTTAGTCCTAACTAAAGGAACGAAACTGGAATTACTAGGTTACCCGAATCCACACTAAAAACAAAGAATCTGAATGTTATATACGCCATTAGAAGATATTTGGACATTAGAGACGAAACTGTTTTCTGGTAAACGCTAACCATTAAGCTGTCATCTTCAATCATTTCTCCTTTTATTTATTTATTATTTTTTTCGTACAGACATACAAGTTAGATAACAGGACCTTCTGATTGTGATAGAGACGTCCAACTCACCTATGAGCAGCTTGTCTGTACGGGGTCGTTTGCTCCCGCAAAATGAGCAGATGTTTAACAAGAAACAATTCACCGTCCAACTTCTTAGTGTGGCCTGCCTGAAAGTATAGTATTATCAGACAACATTTTAAACTTTGACTAAAGTTGAACAAACCTTTTTAGATGGAGATGCAGCAATATGTAGAGCGGCAGCCTCTAACGACTCACAGCACATGCCAAGTAAATCTCGAGCTATCGACTGGAATACTGCCACCTGGAAAAATGTTGACTAGGAATAGTCAAAACTTCAACTTCAATATGAACAAAAACGAGGGAATAGAAGAAGCACTTTACAATTAAAGATAAAAGCCATCGAAAGGTTCAATACATAGTACCATCATGTTTCGTGAACAAGGTTGCAAATGTAGAGATAAACAGGGGTATTTGACATGCTGATCACGAATATCATCCCATTCGAGGGCGATGGTATGTAGAGAGAAA